TATACGGCGATGGAAAAGACAGCCTATGCGCTTTTCATCTCCGCAAAAAAGTTAACATCCTACTTCCAAGCTCACCCGGTAGAAGTCTTGACTGACCAACCGCTGGGTGCAGTGTTGCGAAATTCAACATCCTCCGGGAGGATGGTGAAGTGGGCGATGATGTTAACTCAATTCCACATTGAGTACCGGCCAAGGTCAGCAATTAAGGGACAGGCCCTTGCTGACTTCCTAGTAGAAATGACCGGTCTAACTCCAGACTTACCGGTCAACAAGCCCACTGAGCAATGGTGGGAGATGGCAGTTGACGGGGCATCCGGTCCTAGAGGATACGGGGGTGGTATCGTGTTCACCACCCCAGAAGGGTTCAAGATCTACCATGCAATCGTCTTCAACTTCAAACTGACGAACAATGAGGCAGAATATGAAGCTCTGGCTGGGGGGCTCAGACTTGCCCAAGCCCTGAAAATCAGCCGGGTCAGTATCAAATCTGACTCTAGCCTGATCGTTGGGCAAGTGACCGGTAACATGGAAGCAAGGGAAGGACACATGGCACAATACAAGGACCTTGTACTTGCCCTGTTGAAAGGCTTCGAAGAGTTCAAGATCGCCCAAATTCCCCGGGCGGAAAACGCGGATGCAGACCTTCTCTCCAAGTTAACGCAGTATGCTCCCGAGCATGTTTCAAAACTTGCCCGGGTAGAGATCCTTGACCGTGCAAGCATCGAAAAATTGGAAGTCGCCGCCATAACGGCCGAAAGCCAATTTGACCGGTCAAACCTGGTCGGGGAAGACGACCATTGGATGTATGATCTGATGGAATATCTGATGGATGGGAGCTTGCCAGAACAAGATGACCGGGAAAGAAAAGTGAAGCTCAGGGCACCCCGATTCCAGGTTCTGGATGGAAAGCTGTATAAAAGGGCATTTGGGGGGCCACTCCTGAGATGTCTAACCAACTGGGAGGCTGAGCGAGTCATCGCGGAGGTCCACGAAGGCGTATGCGCGGCGCATCAAATGTCCCGTACGCTTTCCCAACGCATCATCTTGTTGGGGTATTACTGGCCAACAATTGTACGGGATTGTGAAAGGTATGTCCAGAAATGCAGGACGTGCCAAGTATTCTACAAGTATCCCGGTAGACCGGAGACCTACTACCACCCCGTATCGAATGTCATCCCATTCGCTAGATTCGGGGTTGATATCATTGGAGCCTTTCCAATCGCCCAATGAGGGAAGAAGTTCGTAATCGTAGCCATCGATTACTTCACCAAATGGATTGAGGCCGAAGCATTGGCCAGCATTACCACGCAACAATGTAAGAAATTCATTTGGAAGAACATAATCACGAGGTTTGGAGCGCCCATGAACCTCATCACTAACAACGGCTCGCAATTCCGAAATCCAAGATTCACCGAATACTTGGAGGGCTTCGGAATCAAGCACAATCGTTCCTCGGTAGCGTACCCCCAAGGGAATGGCCAAGTCGAAAACGCCAACCGAACGATTGTGGATGGTCTAAAGAAACGGCTGGGAGAAGCAGGAAACAAGTGGCTGGAAGAGCTCCCACACATCGTATGGGCATTTCGAGTAACACCCAGGAGGGCTCATGGGGAAACTCCATTCTCCCTAACCTATGGGTGTGAAGCAAGGCTGCCCATCGAAGCTGAATTCCCAACGTTCCGGGAATCAAATTATGAACCCCAACAAAATGAAGAAGACCACTTGGCCGAACTCAACTTGGTCGAAGAGCGGAGAATGGCCGCGGAAGTTAAAATGAGTACATACCAACAAGTTGTGAAGAAGTACCATGACAACAAGGTTGGGCCGCGGTACTTCCAAGTTGGAGACGAAGTCCTGCGAAGAAGAGAAGCAAGTAGACTTGAACGGGGGGCTGAGCTAAGGCCTTCCTGGGATGGTAGGAATCAAAGGGCCATTAAAAGCCTTAATCACCCGGAAGAGGGGGCCCTGGAAGAAGGGTGCATTTGGACCTTGGAGAGGGTTCGAAACCATTCGACATGGTTAAATCTCCAGTATCCTTACCGGTTAAGGATACTTCAAGAATTACTAGGTTACAGGTGTTTCCATCTACAACCTACCGGTTAAAAAAAAAAGAATACCCCGGTCGGGTATGGGCACAACAGAACTTCGAAAGTTCCACAAGGCAAGGCAGGTGACCGGTCACACCAGGAAGTGGAATCTACCGGTCAAACTGTACTTTATCAAAGAATTTGTGAAGCTGTCCAAAAGGCCAAAGTAAAGTTCGACCGGTCAAACTTTTTAAGTTGGCCACCATGATGAAGACGTTCGAAAAGCAAAAATTGAAGTCTAACCGGTCAAAGTTACTCGAGCTAATCCTTCAGATGAAGTAATCAAAGAGAACTTTGAAGTTCCACCGGTCGAAAACAATTGAGAAGTGGCCTGATTTATGTACCGGTATTCTATGATGGTATTCTAAGAAGCAAGAGCAAAGTATAAATCAACAAGCAAGCAGATATGGAAGATTAACCGGGTAGGAAAACAAACATGGCATTCAAATGAAATAAAAATGTTAAGTGTTTACAGCTACACCAGGCATCCCCGGGGAAATTTCAAGTTGAGAAGTTTTACAAAAACAACCGGGCGCAACCGGGGAGATCCTAATCTAAGGGGAAAGGGGGAGTGGGCTCTTCCTCTGGGATAGGAGCCAGGCCGTAGGAAGCCGCAGTGAAGGCCGGGTCTCTCTTCAGGAGGATCCGGTGGGAAGCTGCCCGGTCTTTCTTTTGCCCGCACTTGAATCCGAAAGATCCAACGGCGGTAATCATCTTCTTTCCTTCAGGCTCCCGGTATAGAAGCCTGAAGGATTCCATGGTAGCTTCTGGGCTCGCCGTCAGTACCCGGGCAGCTTCGGCCTTATTTTCCTCAACCCAGGCGGCTGCGCGCCCAGGGAAGTTTTCTTCCTTCTCCGCCATCTCTCTTTTAGCCTCGGAGACCTCATCGAGCAGCCGGCCATTCTCCTCCTTCAGCCGGGTGTTCTCTGCCCCCAAGGACCCGGCCATCTTGGACAACTTGGCCAGCTCATCCGTTTGGCTCTTGAGGAGGAGAGCCAGCTCTTCGTTCTTCTTCTTCAGCCGGGCTACCTCGGTTGGGGGGTCCATTCCCAACCGGTCAGTGGTGACGGGCCCAATCTCCCCAACCTGCACAACGTATAATAACCCGGTTAATCTTCGTGTAGCGTGAGGGAAAGGTTAACCGGTGACGAAAGATGACTTACCTCCCTTAGCCGCAGGCCAAGGTTGATGTAGGCCTCCTCCACGGTCTGGTAGGCCGCGCCGGAGTCTGTCCTCTGCCTCTTGTTCATGGCAGAGGGATGGTTGGTGGCCACCTTCTTGGTCCGGCGACCGGTCTTCTCTTTTTCCCTCCCCTTAGACCGGTTGTCCTGGGGTTCGTCCTCATCCAAAATCTCCACGGTCTCTTGGTGGACCGGGAAGGTTCTGGCGTGATTGGCCTGGGAGCCCCCGGTGTCTCCCGCTGGTTGGTCGTCGGGGATGGCGAACTCTTCGAACTCCATATCTGCAAAAGAAACTAAAACCGTTAAGTACAAGTAGTTTGACCGGTCACCTACGAATCACAAGTAAAGTGAAAAGTACCTGGGTGGTTCTGGCCCTCAGCCTCTGCAATGTTGCCCGGGGAGGGTACCCCGCGCCCCGCTGCTTCCTGGGCCTGGGAGGTACCCTCACCACCCGACTCTACTCTCCAAACCCAGCTGCCTTGATGGAAGATCCTCCCGGTTTGAGGATCCCCGCGCATAAGGATCTCGAGATTAGCTTCCAAGTCTGGGGAGGAGGCCGATGCAGTATACTCTTGGTCGAGGAGATGGTCATTCCATTTCAGACCGGCCAGAGGAGTGACGAAGGGGGGAAACTCGATGAAAACAAACTTTTCCTTCCACCCCCGGTTACTCTGGGGGACTTCGGAAATGAACTTCCTACCGGTACGGGCTTTGAAGAATACAAAGCCTTCGCAGCCGGATCCGCCCGGTAGGACTTCGAAGCAAAAAAGGAAAAGACGCAAAGAGGGGAAGATTTTTAGATGGGTGCAAATATTTACAAAGGAATGGAGGTACCGGTGGGCGTTAGGAGTTATTTGGCCGGGAAAAATCCTAAACGCATGGAAGACTTCGGTAAGGAGGGGGCGAAGGGGAAAAACTATGCCCGCATCCAGTGATATGGTATGGAACCCTATCCTATCCTCCCGGTGGGGTTCAACGATATTGGGCCAGTTAGGTTCATACAGGAGGGTATACCCATCCGGGAGCCTCCTACGGATTTTGTTTAAGGCAATTTTGGATACACGGGAAGGTATGTCAAGGACGTAGAAAGTGGGAAGCGGAAAGTAACCGGCAGCATGAAGCCGCTCCTCCCACGCATCCCGGGTTTCGTGTTCAGGGTCATAGGGGCCCGGTTCGTCATCGACTGGTTCATCCCTCCCCACGAAAGTTTCACTGGGCATCTGATTAACAGGATGCGGGTCGGGAATAGAGGAGTGGGGAACCTGACCGGGCGTGGATTCAGGAGAAGAAGACCCGGTCGAGGAAGATGAGTTGGAGTCCTCAGAGGAGCTGTCCTCTGAGGACGAGATCCTATCGCTAAACGAAGACATGGCCGGGAGAGAAAAAAGAGAAGGAAGGGGGAACTTACTTGACTCGGAGGGCTGGATAGCGAAAGAGAAGACACTTGACCGGTGAAAGCTCTGAGACTTGATCGCGGAAAGTGAACAAAGAAGAGGGGTGGAGGCCCTTATATAGGAAGAGGGGGGCTGATAGGAGTGACGTGGCCTCTCCAGGTTGCGCCGCGTCAGGCGGCGCAATGATGACCCATTGGCAGGCGAAACGACAAGTCTGCAGCCGACCGATTGCAACGGTTGATGCGCGACACGTGGCAAAAGTCAGAGTTTGAAATTCAAATTTCAAAAATTTTAGGCGGGAAGGGCCAAAATTTCAAAATTGGAGTCTTATTTCAGACTTTTTACTTCCCGCTCATGACGAATTGCATGACCGAGAAGTGGAGGGCTTATTGATGGGTGTATTCCACCCACGACCGGTCAAAGGAGAAGGCCAAATCTTTGACCGGTCAATCTCGAAAGTTTTGAAGGGAGACTTAAATCGTCCGCAAAACGATATATCGTCGGCCAAAATATGACCGGTATACTTCACGGAAAAAGTATACCGGTCAAACTACTTTGTCCCCCTATTCTTCCCTAAACTTCGATGATTTCATCCCACGGAGATTACCCGGTGTAGTTTCTAGGGTTGGAAAGTGTCGGCAGAGGAGAATCTACGAGGGCTTGGCGTGTAGCGACCCATGTCAGTAGAGGACAACTGGAGATGCTGAAGAATCCATCCAAGGCACTACTCGACAAAGGGAATAATCCCCCTCACAAGGCGACAAGGCAGCTCAAAGACGAAACCAGTCACCTCGCACCACATCAG